TGGTTTCAAAACAAGCTGTAATTCTGCTTCAGGGCAAATTATGGGTCACATCAAAGAACATATGTGTTGTATATTAAAGGGAATGATATTTGGGAAGTACAAAACGGCGCAGCACATAGGACCAGGCAAGGGTAGCTTGCATAGTAGGAGTAGGATTTTAAAGAATTTGCTCTGTTTCCCCATTGGTCCCTGCCCCTCCCATCCCAGGGGGCCAAGACCTTCTGTTTATACAAAATTGATTCTCCTAAATCTAGCAATGCTTCCGACCAAATTAGATCAAAATCCAATGATTCCTAGAGGAGAAGTAGGATTTTAAAATTTCCTGTTTCAGGCACCTATTCCTCAGCCGTTTGGAGATTGAGACAAATCATTTGTAAGAAATTTGTTCCCTCTTTCTCCAAGGATACTTCTGACTAAATCTGGTCAAAATCCTCAAAGTCTTCTATAAATACATGTAGAAGGAAGTTTTAGGAGAAAAGGTTCGTACGGAGGATGGACACTTCGTGCAGTAAGGCATAACTTCACCACTTTGCATAGAGCTGAGGCACTTAAACTACAGATAACTCCTGGTCAAGAACATACATTTAACAATTATGCAGCATATGTACTGAACAATTTTCCAATGTCCATCTCTGTGATTTACCTGTACTGTTACATTAACAGATTAACTGTTATTCCTGGGGTCGCTGACCACAGCAAAAGGATGGTGACAAACAAGGCTATCATATGTCACTTTTCTAGTATTTATTTGCACAATTAGCAAACATGAGTACCACCGACCTAGGAGATGTCATAAACACTTGTTTGGACAAATTTTATATATTTCTGTGAAAGTTTTACATATTGTGTCTGTAAATGATTATAATTTCATTTGAATGCTTAAAATTGTTTACACTTTTTTTTATAATTTTATAAAGCAAGTAAAATGATCATTGTGTACTGATAGAATCAACATACCTTTGACAGGTACCAGAAATATAGAATCTACCTGATTCTGAAGTGAATATTATCTGTATCTCAGAACTATTGGGACTTCAGTTACCTGGGATTGATCTTTATAATCACTCTTCATTTTGTGACTTCGTAAACACATCTGTCTCTTTACAAATTTCAATAATATGACCGATAGTTTCTAAACAGCTTATCAACCAATGCATACCAATATGTACTTCTAATATCAAAACCGTATTCTTGTCTGTTATGTTGGCATTTTCTAGCAGACCCTAACAGTAAGTAGAGAATGAATGATAGTGTCTTCAGTGATAACAAACATATTTCACAAGTGTGTCTTTCCCGAGAGCACAGCACCAGTGAAAGATACAAAAAATATTAAACACACAAATGAAATATTTTTGTTATTACTGATGACACTAATAAATATTCTATTTATTACATTTTCATTAGCAAAAATAGCCAAATTACTGGCATATTTAGGGCAGAGATAAAAGGTCGAAGCTGATTAAGCTTTTCCTGGACACTACTCGTTCATCATAACTTCACAGTACATGTCAATGTAATTTTTTCATATTCACTGTTAATAATGTCACTAACAGACAAAATCTGCTGAGAGAGTTTAACCTGTGACAAGTTACTACACAGCTGAAAATATGGCGGCAACCTTAAGCTGTCGCTGTTGATGATAATGAATACTCTTGAAAGGCTAGCACTGCTTTTAAGACGTTCGGTTGGGGTTTCGGTTTAATTTCTAATAAGGTAATACCAGGTATGTGTTGCCATGTTTGCTGTCTTCCATGAAAATGAAAGTTTACCATGGAATTAAAGATTATGTTACTAGTAAACAATCTCTTAAGGTTTCTGGTTTTGTGTTTCTTGTACCGGGCTTTATGATTCGTCAATTTTCTAAATTGATTTGTGTTCTCTCTTTTCATTGGTGTAAGTCTATGAAAGTGCTAGAGAAAAATAACAAGTTATTTTTCAATAGTGAAAAATAACACTTTTATAAATGAGATATTTCTCTATACTTCCCAAACAAGAATGTAATAAAATTGTTTTCTAGAAAGTAAACATGTAAAACCATTTCTATCTATAAAGAAATTTTATCAGCACAATGTCATATTTTTCCAAGAGAGTTATAACAGCATATTTCATTATATTCCATATCCTGTGTAAATTTGGAAGAAAAGTACATTCATTCCATAATGGTTTGCTTTATACAGATGTATCAACATAACTTATAAGCTATTTGTAAAATTTTAAACTGTTAAAGTAAAAGATGTAGAATATGTGAAACATATGCATAAATTTTGGTATTTGTGAAACAACCATCGTCACATTTTGTACTTTAGTATCAGACCAGCAGTTCATACTAAATTCAATTGAGTTTGTTTATCCAAATGACAAATTTCAACACTTACACTTGCAAATTTTTTTACGAGAAATGCTTTTGTCACTTTGATCGCATCTGTACCAATCAACATGTGCGCATGCTGATATCTTTCCACTCATGCGTTACATTACACCTGCCAAGTAAAGCGCGGCAACCGATCACTACACGCTGCACCATCAACAAGACAGCAAAACTATTTACTATTCTGTTGGTTGCTTTATCCTCTGCATAACATGATATGCAAAACTGTATTTGTCTATCAACATCATCATAGTTACTGTTAGTGATTTCTTAAAAAAATTTACTTTTCACAACTCCATTCTTTCAGCTTTTCACCTCTGTATTTACACATATCACAAAAATTGATCTAAACAGTTTAAATTATCAAAAGAAAATCCGTTAAAGGTTTTTAAAAAATGGAATTAAACAGGTGTTTTGACTGTTCCATGACTACATATGTATTAATGGCTGACTTTCAAGAATCAGTGTACCATGTGTAGTGATATTACATGCAATTCCATCAGCCTCATTATTGCCACAAAATATGCATACAAATCACAGCAACTGTAGCATCATATTAGTGGAAAAAAATATATGATAAAAGCTCATGTCATATGTTCTTTCTAATGTACACAGAATGGCAAAAGAATTTTTAAAGAAAGAGTCAATATAGTATACTGAAGTGTTGTCACAGGTTTTCGAGTTTGTCTAGATACGGAGGTGATTATGGTTGTCTTCTAAAACCCAGACCTGGGATCTTGGCACCTAATGTTTGATCTTTATTTGTTCTTTAAAAAATGTATCTTTTCCCTTCTTTTTACTTCTTTTCTCTATTTTCGCTCTTAGTAATACAAAATTTGAACACTCCTTTGCAGAAATAGCAATGATAATATTTAACTGCCAAATTAAAGATGGTCACCTTTCAATAATTTTTTTCTCTGATCAGTCCCAAAATCAAACCTTCACAACTAGGGACCAAGAGGAACATGCATATGAAATCTGAGTGAGATCCATCCACTATTTCTCACGAAATAGCAATATCAAAAATTGTTTAAGGATGGCCAAACAGACTGATGATGGTGAGCTAAAAAGTACCAGCTGAGGTCTTAGTGCATGGTATTCATGTTATCAACATCAGTGATATTTCAGTAATAGAGATAATTATACTTGGACTATCTTAAAGTAAACAAAATTTCTTATAACATTTTCTTTCTTGGGTAACTTTCAAATCACAACAAGTTTGTGATCATAAACACATTTTCTACCACAACAGGAAGAATCTAATTCATTATTACAACTGTTGCTTAGACAAAACATTTAAACAATGTTTGGATTAAAATATAAACATGTTTTGATTGGCTAACACACCAAGCTTTGACCCGAGGACTAGCTGTTTTAAATAACGCAGTCCAAAGTCATATGTAGATTATTCATACATCATCAAGGACAATGCTTATGAACAGACAATGAACACTGTTACTATTTATATACAATTCTGTTTGTAGGTCTGATATGTGGTGACACATTTAACACAAATATCAACAACGCTGACAAACAATGAAAACGTCTATATATGAGTGAACTTTGAATGAATGGATGGCAGTAGTTAAGCGAGTCTTTTAGTAAATTTGGAAAAATTAAATAAAGAAATATTTTAAACAGCAGCCATCTGCTGTGCAACCTAAATCTATTATACTATATCATATCTTATACTATATAAACTTTGTTAACCATCATCATCACCTGTATATATTATACTATATAAACTTTGTTAACCATCATCATCGCCTCTATATATTGTACTATATAAACTTTGTTTACCATCATCACCTCTATATATTATACTATATAAACTTTGTTAACCATCATCATCACCTTTATATATTATACTATATAAACTTTGTTGACCATCATCATCACCTTTATATATTATACTATATAAACTTTGTTGACCATCATCATCACCTCTATATATTATACTATATAAACTTTGTTAACCATCATCATCACCTCTATATATTATACTATATAAACGTTGTAAACCATCATCGTCGCCTCTATATATTATACTATATAAACTTTGTTCATCATCCTCACAACAGCTACTTTTTGCAAATTTGCAAAAGAAAATGGCATGTTTACACTATACAACTTTTGCTATACCTTGTATGCAGTCAATTAAAAGTTGAAATTTTGGACAGAACAAAATACACTATTAACAAAAAAATTGTGGTTTTTAAACGTAACTTTCCATTGGAATAGAAGTTCTTTATAACATAACCAGAAGAAAATTTTATTGTGACATTCTGAAGGCAACACGGTCACGTTTATCAGACAAATGACCAGTGTTGAGCGTACCACAACACATTGTTACCATCTGTGTATGTTGTAGTCTGTAATCTGTTTACCATCTCATCACACTATTTTGGACCTTAGAATACAAAGGATTATGTTACAGCTAAAAAAGTTGGTTAATGCCTTACCACCTTGTAAATAACGTACGTAAGTGCTAGTAAGCTCTGCATTTGTCATTGCCTGATGAAGGTGACTGTGTAGTCACCGAAACGTCACACTCTAATCTTCTACTGGTTGTGTTACAAGAACTTCTATTCTATTTACATTAACAAAATGAAGGAAATGTTCCAGAACTTACCAATGCTAGAAGGTGTGTTAGGGCGGTGTAGGTGAGATTCTGCCCTTCAGATGTTGAATGTTTATTGTTCATACCATATGCAACCGCTGCCGCATTGCATTTTTTACATAAGGGCTTGTGTTCCACAATATGCTGGTGATTTTTCTGAGCATAGACTGTTGTCCTGTTGACCTCACTTTCACACAAACCACACATCTTATATCCTCTCCACTTTGGAAAGCGCCCAAATGTGAAGCCCTCCTTAATATGATCTCCAGTTGTCTTATGCAGGTTACAGCGATATTGCTTGTCAATGTTCATCTCTTTCGAGATACTGACGTTCAATTCAGGAAAATTTACACCTCTTGTGGATACTCGTTTTTTAAACTGTTGCTTCCTTACTTTTGGGACCATTGTTTTTACCATAGGGGACTCATGTTGAGCCTCAATCCCTCGCTCATCTGAGGGATGGTAACTTTGCTTACCAAGACAACCTCCCATGGTCACCACATTCACAGCAGTCAAACAACAGCTTATATTCAAGTCCAAGGATCACCAATAACTCACTAGAAAATATCCATATTATTCTGAACTCAAATTCAAATTTTCAAAAATTTAAAGAAACAAAACATCATAATCTCACCTAGCTACAGTGCTGAGTGTTGTGTCCATCCACAGACGGTTTTACACAGATATTGCTGGTGGATTAATACAAACTTTGAGATATCAGAAATCTATGTGTACCACATGCACTGATTAAGACATATCCCACATATCACTGTACAACCCAGACCATTAAAATGTTGCCAAAAATAAAAATTGTCACAAATAGATAGTGTTGATACAGAAACCCATTTATAAACCAATATCCTGGTCAGGCTCTGTTTGTCAGTGAATAATACCTGTTATTCTTCCTCACTAAGTCAAAATTCAGGACAGTTTAGAAATTGGATTCAAACTGAGCAATCATACGCCATTGTGTTGTAGATCATCTGTGAACGTAATACCTTGGTAAAAACAGATGATTATTGTGTCCGTAGCAAATTAACACAGCTACCCCAGATTAAGTAAAATCCCAGACATCAGTATCCATCAGCCTTCCTATCTGTTGATTCCGGGGATGACTCTGTCGCTTAATTAGGCGGGTAGCATGTACACATCTACCTGTACCTGATAAATACCTGGTTCATTACAGGTAAGTCCTACAGGTAAGGTAGCTCACTTGGTGACCCAAAAAGCCAAAGAAAACGACGGAAATTGAAAACCAGCTAGGAAACTCAGAAGTGAGAGCAGGATTAATAAATATTTGTACAGACATCAAACGCGACTGGTGAGTTTACAGCTTGTTACCATGGAAACAGATTAATGACAGTGGAGATACTCATTATTGGTGTACATGATAGATACCGTTGAATAACACTTATAAATAGCACAGCAATGAAGTATTCTCAATAATTCCATATGTATCAACGTGTAGGAATCATATGGTGTTATTTTTTTGCCTTGATCAATGATAAGTATAATACATCATTAACATCAAGGACTCAAACTGAATAGGAGGTACCTCTCAACTCAAGGTAAGCTAAACACATGTAATTAGGAAGGATGTTTGGAAACAGGAAAGGGCATTGGTCAAAGTAAGGGAAGGGCAAGAAAGGGTGGGGCTGTAATAGGAAGCAGGGCAGTAAAGGGCAAGGCAGTGTGGGGCAAAGCAGAGAGGGCATTGGTCAAGGTAAGGGCAGGGCAGGAAAGGGAAGGGCATTGGTCATGGTAAGGGCAAGGCAATGTGGGGCAAAGCAGAGAGGGCATTGGTCAAGGTAAGGACAGGAAAGGGAAGGGCATTGATCATGGTAAGGGCAAGGTAGTGTGGAGAAAAGCAGAGAGGGCATTGGTCAAGGTAAGGGCAAGGCAGTGTGGGGCAAAGCAGAGAGGGCATTGGTCAAGGTAAGGGCAGAGTGGGACAGGAAAGGGCATCGGTCATGGTAAGGGCAAGGCTGGGAAGAAAAGAGCAAGGCATGGAAGGTCATGGGAGGTAAGGAAATGGCAGGCTGGGGCTGTAATGGGAGAAGGGAAGGGCACGGCAGTGTGGGGCAAGACAGGAAAGGGCATTGGTCAAGGTAACGGCAGGGCAAGCCAAGGTGGGGCTGACATAAGGAATCAATAAATAAGATACTAAATGTGATGTTTGCTTATTGAAAGTGTATATATGAAGAAAAAATCAAGCAAAGCTAGCTTACATTTTTCTGTCAAGCTACTTAAAGTTACCTGGTATATCATTCATGTATCACTGATTTGAAGGTAAAGTATATACATGTATATAATTTTTGCATATTATCAGGAATGAATCTAAAGGACAGGCATGAAAGTGTAGCTTCTTAATAATCATTTTAATTAGTTATTAACATCTAGTTAAAACAACATAATTTAATTATAAGTTAAAACATATGATGCTTGCCTGCATGGAAAGCTTTGTCGTTTACCATGAACATAAATGCCAAAGCATTAGATACTTCATTGCTCAATCTACTTTCGGAAAAACTCAGAAATGTTTCACGTATGTGTAAAAGTAACATATAATGTACACATGTACATATGCTTGAAATGTTGTGATTGGAGTCAATTCAATTTTCACAATAATCAATAAATGAATACACATGTATATATTGATTCAATGGTCCATTAATGAAGTAGTTTTAGAGTTTAAATGTGAAATAATTTGAGTTGTATTACCCCTATTTGGTTTTGCCATGAATAATCTCAGACGATAAAAACATAGGGACAATGTAGATTTCTATATAAGTTATCATTCCGTTCAATATCTACTCTGAAAAAAGTGTCAAAGTCTTTCCTTGCAATCATATTTTTTCAACCCATGATCAGACGATTTGTGGTGACATATTTTTCATTTCATGATAAAATTTAAATAAGAAGAAGTGAGACTGTAATGATATATTGTATGATAATTGTTTCCTTATTAAAGCTCAGCAAAATGCATCAAGAAAATACCCACATGGCAACATAATCATAATGCAAACACATATTCCATAAAACCAGGGCAACATATGAACAAAAGAAACATTTATGCAGTGATTCCTGAAAAAGCACAAGGAAAATAAGACCAGGTGTTCTGAAAGAGTAAGTGTCTTCTGCTTCATCGCCGACACCCGACACGTAAACCTTGTTCAATCCAAGTAAGTAATGTCACGTTCTCAAATGACAACAAGGTATATAACAACCGAACCAACAGGCAAACAAATTATGAGCATCAAATTTGTCCAGCTTCATGTCTTACAAAGAAATAGAATATTTCTCAATGAGATCACTATAATGACCATTACCGGGGTACTAACAAATCCTTGGGATGCAGAATTCTGAATGATTGTCTTGTGGTCAATTTTTCGTTGGTTCAAATTCATGACAAATTGAAGCAAGAAAAAACATAAAATGAGGGTAGGTAATCTAAAAAATGAAAAATGGTATAATATAGCTACCTAGGTAAGAGACAGCTTTATTAGATTTATTATAGCAGGCTTTATTGCTGTTTATTTAACCCCTCCTATTATGAAATTATTCAACCTCTTCTTTTATGAAATTATTTTTACCAGTCCTTTTATGAAATTATTTTTAACCAACGTTTTATGAAATTGTTTTATCCGTCCTATTTTGAAATGATTTTTAACCCTTTTTTATGAAATTATTTCATCCCTCCTTTTATGGAAGTTATTTAACCCCTCCTTTTATGAAATTCTTTTCCCTTCCTTTATAAAATTATTTCACCCCCTCCCCCCATTTTATGACATTATCTTACCCCTCCTTTTATGAAATTATTTTGACCCTCCTTATATGAAATTATTTTACCTCTCCTTTTTATGAAACTCAGCTTATTTCGACCAAGACTCTGAACATTATGATATTGTACATCAATCGTATTTAGGCCAAATTGTGAAAGAGCAGTGAAAAGCATACTTGTACCAAACATCTCTTTTAATCATTAAGCCTAAATATTTGATATGAATTTCTATTGATTTATCAACAGGTATGAGCAAGTGAAGAAACCAGTTTCCTGAGTAAGACAATATCTCATACACGAAATCCTTTTTTCTTTTGGTATTAAAGAAATCATGCTATTACCAACATAAAGTTTTCTCATCATTTATAAAAACACTTTCAGACAAGAAAGATGAAAAAAATTGTTCTAAGATCCCTGAAATTTCTTTCTGTATGCAGTTAAACATCTTATAGACAGCAGCAAAACATCCCCTGACAGAAAAATACACACTACCAAATCCAAACAGTATCCAAGTTTAAACTCTCACCCAATACACCTTAGTAAACTTCTTGTTGCTTACAAATAGACAAATTTACAAATACCGTATGAAGTTTATCTAAATTGAACCCAAGGATACCTTTTATGAATTTAATGTTTTTTCTAGCATTTATACAAATTGTAATCTAGATCAACACTATATATGTCAAAGCAAGGTATCAGCTGAAAGGTCCTGGCCTCAACATCAATCACAGAAATTATAGCCATGATAACAGACAAAACTAGTAAGAATACTTTTAGCCGTGAAATTAAAAATTTGAAGTATGTAATTCAAAATGTTGTTTACTTAAAGCTGAAATATATTTTATCTGATGACCCTAATAGATCTGTGCTAAAAATAGCACTATACAATCATTTGCTTGTAAGTGGTGAGAAGTTTCAGTGAAGGGTGTTTAATCTTTAGGGTATTTTTTGTATAGTGTTGGTAGTTGACACCTTAAATGATATAAATTCTATAAATCATATACAGGTACTTATCTATGTAAGTAAACCTTATCTAGTCAATACTGCAGAGCCTGTGTGAACTGTGTCATCATTCTTTCAGATTTATTGTAACCCATTGATATACATGTCTGGATTAATATCATGATAAAAATCAATGATCACATGATCACCTAATAAACATGGAGGTCTATAAATAGCTTTTGTATGTACTTTTATCATAATCAATATCTGAACTATGATGAAGAGTCTGTGAGATTTACCAACATCAATAATAAGAGGCCCAATGGGCCTGCATTGTACACAAGGTATTAAATATATTTCACAAATACACAAGTCATTTACATTTAACTTATGTCTACCAGTGTATCATTGAAACAAGCATGCTTACACTTCAAGGTGAAGCCTAAACACAAGCTAGATGGATCTTGTATAACTTCAGTCATTACAAATTATGAGCAGGTACTCTGAAGCCATTTGAGCAATTCTATAATTTGACTACTGTGACATTGAATAGGGGTCAAGGTCACTTCTTTTCATACATTCTGACTTATTCATCTTGGAAACATACTAAGCATATATCATGGTTCTGAAGAAGTTGTTTTAATTCTTTTGACTTTCAATGTTGCTCAGTCATTTCTTTTCGGGCATGTCATCAGGCTTCATCTCAGCAAACCTAACAGTCATATATCAAGATTTTGGGCCTTTTGATCAATCAGAATAAATTGCTTTA